TGTTTTAAATTTAATTCCCCCCTCAAATTGTATCCCCATTCCTAATTTAAATATTGAATCCAAATATGTTTTGTATGTGTTCCCCCAAATTTCTGTACAGTAGGTCATATAAGGCAAACAAGGGAAGTATACAATAAATAAAGGCAGTTCTTATCCAAAAAATCTCTTGTTTTATAAAGAATAGAAATAGATTTGGATAATTTCCGTTTCACATGTTCTATATGGGGCTTCCAACAAAGTTTATCATCAATAATTACTCCTAAAAATTTTGTCTCATATACTCTAACTTAGGTCCCAAAACAGATCCTTGCGGAACTCCACAAGTTACTTTTCTAAGTTTAGATTTCATGTTATTAATACTCACATATTGGAACCTATTATTCAAGTAACTGTTTAACCAAAATTGTACAACACCTCTTAAACCATACCTTTCACACTTCTGTAAAAGTAAAGAATGATCTATCGTATCAAAGGCTTTACGTAAATCAATAAACACACCGATTCCAAACTGTTTTTCATCCACAGCCGTTGCAATATTTTCAATAAATTCCATCACAGCTAGAGATGTTGAGCGATTTCTTCTGAACCCATACTGATGATCATTCAATAAATCATATTTATCAATAAAAGAATCTAGTTTGTTTGCAAATAGTTTTTCAAGAATCTTTGAAAACTGAGGCAGTAAAGATACCGGTCTATAATTTGACACAATCTGTTTATCACCAGTTTTATATAGTGGGATCACTTTGGCAATTTTCATTTTATCCAGAAAAATTCTAGTTTGAAATGATTTGTTACAAATATATGTTAACGGTTGAAGGACACTATGAAGAACTTCTTTAATTAGCGACATGTCAAGGTCGTCACAATCCATGGATTTTTTACTCTTGAATTTACTCACCACTTCTACAATGTCACTCTCACAGACTCCACCAAGAAACATTGAGCTACTTGTTCTGTAGGGATTTTGATATTTGGCATAAAAATGCAGAACACATGCATCATTTAAATAACTGATGTACATCCGATGAGTCACACAGTGCAGAACTACAGAAGGTAAGAACCAGTACTTCCTGTAGTGGAAATGTCGGTGCAGGGGGGAAAAATTTTTTGAATTAGTGGTGCAAGCACAGTGCAGTCAGCTGTGCACAGGATGTGACCAATTGTGCAGATCCAAGAAAAGGCACCTGTGGCACAGTTGGCATCAGAGCTAAACTGGGTTTGATTAGGAATGCATGTGTCAGAGGCCGGTCACAGCCGTAGCTAATCAAACCAGCTTTTCTCAGTCCGTTTAGAAGCCGCGTACTCCCTGCACCGACGTGACGATGTTTTCTTAATGGGAATGAAAATCCAGACCAGCTACTCCCATGTGGAAGCTTATGTTGTTGCCTGGGTGGCGCTTTGGCACGAGGCGCAAATATATGACATCTTAAAAATGAACATATGGCAGTCTTAACTTCCCACAGAGGACAGATGGTGTCACTAGCACTTTTTTGGGGAGATCTGAGCCAGTTTGTTTATTTATATATTTTTTGTAATATTTAGAAAGGGAAGACAAGCATGGCAGCCATATTGTCAGCATTTGTGCTCAAATTCTCCTGTGCTGTTTTGGATTTGGCTGCAGTTGTAGTTGTTTGTAGTGAGTTTGTAGTTGAAGTTAAAGTCACAAAAAGCTACCCTCCCCAGTTTAAGTAAACTTGGACCAACTTAAAACCATCTAGCTCAATTCTTCAGTTTTTGCCAAATCAACAGAAATCATCTGAAAGCAGTGGTTTGTTGACAGCTTGGTGATTTATTTTGATCGAAAAAAGCAAACTGTAGAAATTTGTAGAGATTTTCCTACATAGCTAGAAGTGCTATGGCTAGTGCACCATTCTTTCTCATACCTCATCCATACTGAGTAGTGTATAAACATGGTAACATGGTTCATAGTAGTCTTGACAGCCAGATATGCGTACCTTGCAGCAGTGTGCTCCTTATTAAGGAGTTACTCCAAGTAGCCACATTGGAAGAAAGTGAGGTATCTTCACTCAGCTTTAAAACTCTGCACCTCGCCCACCTTCAGCGTGCGTCAGCAGGTGACTGTGTGGATGGGCTCCTCTGCAAAATGCGAGTGAAACAGATATACAACTGCAAAATGCAAATAGCTACTGTAGAAACTGATAAATGTATTCTATAAATGATGCAACATGAAACATGCCCCAACAAAATTCACGGGATATTTTCTGTAAGCAGGCACCCTGTTATTGTTTCATACTGCAGCGTATGTTTTTAGTAGGCCGAAGGTAGAGTAGTGTGCAGGATGTGGTTCACCATTGTCTTGCTGAAATAAACAATAGTTCCCAAAGACATTAACTTTATGGTAGCACGTGTTGCTTCAAACTATAAGCACTAATACATCATCACAGACTGAGAATGGACTGATCCCGTATTTCGATCATCCAGGTCCAGATGTTGTTGACAACGAGGCGCTCTGTGGACTGATCCAGTCAGTTCAGCTGTTTATTTTTTTATAGTTTGAAGTTAGAGAGCTAACGTAGCATAGAAGAAGCTAAAAAGCAAACCGACAGCAGTTTGGAGGCATTTAAACTCGAGCGATCGCAACACACTGATTCTGTTTTCATGACTGAAAAGCTCTGACGGCGATGACGCTCTCTCCGTCTCTCCTTCTTGCTTGTTCGCTGTCGTTGTGCTCGGTGTAGCACTTGTTTGGAAGCTTTTACTGCACTTACCGTAACATAGCGCTTGTTGTTGCCAGCTCCATTAACATTATTTCACTTCATCTGTCTGTTGTTAGTTCCTCTCCACATGCTGTGTGCGTTTGTGTGTGTGTGAAGGAGAGATTGATCAGATGGCAGGACAGTCTATCCCAAATGAGATCATGCCACGAGGCTGGCAGAAGCATCCTTCTCCTCTATCTTATGTTATGTTATTCATTTGCATGGCAGAATTTTCAATCTGGGTTTATTGACTTTTAAAGAAATTGTTCCTGAGTCACTTAATGGATTTCCTCTCCTGTTGCTCAGTTGTTCGCTCTCACAGCTAGAAGGCTTTGTGTTGTGTGTCTGTGTTGTTTGCTTTTTCTCCTTGTCCCTGTGTGAGTCTCCTCCTGGTGCTCCCTCGCCCTCACACATCCCAAAGACGATGATGATTCCTGGGTTAACTGGTTATTCTAAACTGGCCACGGCTGTGGATGTAAGTGAAAATTGTCTGACTCTCTGTGTTAGCTCAAGAACTGTCCAAAGCTTGCCCCGCGTCTTACCCAGTGTCAGCTGGGATAGGTTCCAGCCACACGGCTAAGAAAATGAATGTCGCGTCGAAGCAGTGGTGTCACAGTGTGGCTCTTTACCAGGTTGTTGGCTTGTTTTTTTTATCTTGTCTCCCAAGTAGGCCATGTTTTTGCAACTTGGCTCATGTATTTTCTCATTAACTGTGGAAA